GCAAGCTTCTATTGTATTTGATCGTAAAGGATTTTTCATGACATAATTGCAAAGAAGAGGAGGCTTCATAAGGCGAATTCACTTTTTTCATTACAAGTGATTTCTTTGATCTGGTACTTGAGAATAGTCAACCAACATCATGAATTGATATTTGAGTTTAGAAAAGGAGATATCAAGGAGTTTAGGAATATGTAAAGGTGATTTCGTGGAGACTTGTTCAAAGAAGTGTTAAAAATCTCACAAATGTAGGGGTACAATACGCTTATTGTATGGATAATTTGAGGGAATAGTAGGGGAATAATGTCCCGATGTAGGGGCAGTGTTTGGAGAGTGAAACATACTTTTATAAGTATCACCTTAAGAGAATCTAGTAAAACCAAACCTATCTGCAAGGCTGTAGTTGCTGCACTTTTTCGTACAGACTTTAACAAGCCCTTGTCGTTGACGACTAGAACACAGTTCTTGGCTATGGATAAGACTGTACTCCAATCCTTCAAGTATGGTTATGCTTCAACAGGTAAACAAAAAGTTTTCAAGGGTTCTTTTCTTGTGTTTCTTGGGTGTCTTTGTCTCAAGGTTTCGTAAAGACTTGATCTTCGAAAAGGACAACTTTTCTTTGACTTTTACTACTTGTAGCTTTTTTCAATGTCTTGGTAAACCAAACGATGATATCATTCAACTGGCTACTCAACTCAATATTACTTGTGTTTTTCCAAACTCGTTACTCTCAAGGGTACTTGTCCATTTTTAAGGAGTCATTTCAAACAATATTGAGGTGGATCCTAAACATGTTACAGACTGTTTTTTTTTGCTGAATTGAAACGTATTTTTTTGTTGTGGTGATTCAAAACAAGTATTTTTGAAGAAAAGGAAAAAAATAACCATTCTTTGTCATTCTTCTCTTCTTTTGCATAGAATGTGTCTTTAAAGCATTGGCTCTTAATGTTTCGTTATCAGTGTGGAAATCAAAGTTAACTTTCTTGGAATGATCTTTTACTGTTTCAAATGGCTTTATTGATTTTTACACACACTGTCCGCAATTTCAAATGCCCCATTTCCAATTTACCCATTCTTCCCCGCATTCATAATGGTAATTTCCAAATCAACACAATCGCCTTTGGGTTGGCCCCTCTTCAATTTCCTCACACCCTTTCCCCACCCATTTTCCCCCATCGCAATTTCCACACTTTCTCCCGTTTCCAATTTACCCATTCTTCCCCAGCCCACAATGGCAATTTTCAAATCAAAATTGCGCGGGCCCATTCCAAACCGGCCACTCTTTTCAAATTGCCCATCTTTCCCATTAGCAGAAAAAATCAGTAAAAAGTGTGTATATTGGTGCTCAACAGACTATGCAGAATCAGACCCAATGGAAACAACAAAATCTTCATTTTACAGTATACCAATATGATTCAACGTTGGGTGAATTCTGGAAACAATGGATTCAAACGAGTTTCGATCGACCTAGGTAATATTGAAAGTAATTTACAACTATGAAGAAAGAATGTGGGGATTTTCTCTCGTTATTATTCTTGTCAAGGAAACTATCAACTAGATTGTTCTCTGTGTATTTAGATGAAAGAATACTAGTACTCGTTGGTATTTCGTCTACCGAGTCTACTTGGGTAAATTCTTCCAATAAATCCATACAATTGTTGAGCATTTGGCATTAAATAGACTATTGAGGATATATAAATACTATGTGAACTAAAGTCTAGGGTATAACTACTCTTCTTATGGGACAGAGAGTTTTATAGTGTCACGATAAAAGATCTTGATGAGCTAAAGGACTCATAGTAGACAGACAACCCAATGTGGTTCAAACAACCCATTTCATTCTATTAGCACTGTCCAATCCAGTCCGTACGTACTCAACTTGAGAATGCACAATGAAACTACTCCTATTTGAATCACTTACCTGGTATATATCTTTTTCTATGGTTACAACTTGTCTTTGACTCGCGGATCAATAATCTGTCTAAAGTGAATTCTTAAATCACCATTTTGAATAGAGTTGTCCTGCTATTATTCCTCAAATACCGGAATCAGTCAATTTTACAAGCCCAAGTGCAATTATTTGTCAGTTGATAAGTAAATAGGCTAGTATGACACTAAACAATCATTCATTCAAACAATCAGTTAGTGAATCAACACAAGCCAAACTTAATTCTTCATCCATAAAGATAACAAAGAGTCTGTTGTGCAAGTGACCTTGTCCTAGTGAAAGCTGTACCAGGTGATCAACTTGATTTTGTAATAGCTTAATATAACAAAGATAAGAGACAACTTTTTTCACCATAGAAAGTAAACGGACATAACCATGTGTCTCAGCATTACTTGAAGTACTACCGATCTAAGGTTATGCTCAAAGTACTTCTTCGTCAATCTTCTCAAGTTGTTATGTGGATTCAAATCTTTCAAACAACATAAAACCGAATGTTTGCGTTCTTCTAAATTAGAGTAGAGATGATCTGTAAAGTTCCAAACATACAGTTCCGTCCAATTCAGTTGAATTGTCTCGTATGTCTATGATTCTGTAGTTGACTGCGACATTATGCATGTCCCACTATCAAATCAATCTTTGATGGAACAGATTGGAGTCAAGTGAATTCTATCGAAACTATATAAGTCATAGCCATAAATCTTGATAGTCTGAACGATACCAAGGCTTTTATGAAACTAAGTTACATGATGAGGTGTATGATAAACAGTGGAAAAAGTGTTAAGGGTAATTTCGAATAGCATATGATCGGTACTCTTCAAATACAGTATTCATAACAAGAATATGAATTCATATGAACAAGGTCAAGTCATTCTATTTGACATCAAGTTCAATAGAAATGTAGCCAGGATAGATTATAGTCCCTCTCTCGACAACTTAAAATTGACCTTATCACTAGGCATAAATGATATGATAAATACTAAAGTACTATATTTATGACCGACTCGTTCGATTCTATCTACAAGGCGTAGTGAACAAGAGAATGAATGATGCTTAAAGAAACAATACACCACTCTTTGTCCGACGACATTGTTCTGATTCTATCAAGCAAAGCACTCAGCTTATTCTCTTTCTTAATAGCTGATTGCCTATTTTGTAAAATTCCTTGTTTCCACTCAATTGAGTTTAAACTCGATTCAACATAGCCGAAACCTAATCTTTTGCAATCAGTTGAATTCAAACTGATTCCTGGACACTAGCTCGTATCCCTATTGTCTCTGGTCTTTTTGATTAGATAGAAAAATATATCCGTTCCACAATTGAGGGATGTATTGAGTTTTTAATATAGGGAAAGCGAGTGGTCGTAAAACACCATTCACAATTCTAAATAAATGAGGAACTATAGAAGGGGTAGTATGTTTATTACTCTTCGAGAATAATGGTGTAGTGAGAAGTGTTGTCCTATCTCTTGTAAGAGTTGCTGTTATTGTTGTCGTCAAATGTGCAAATCAGATAGTAAATTCTGCTTTTATAATCATTTCTGCCAGTTTATACCAAGACCTCAATAATTATTGCAATGGAAATAAATACAAGCAACTTTTTTCCGGTCAAGTTGTTGATTGACAAAGATTGATTAGTTTGAATCTAAAACTATTCGTCGAGTATGATGAGGAGTGATATCCTTCTTCATGGAATACTAGTATCAAGATCGAGTTGAATCATAAACTTGATATTGTTCTTCCTATAAATGTTATTGTCTACACTTTCCAAACCAGTAAAGAAAGTTACAACTATATAAAGAATAATATCTACAGAAATGCAAATAATGATTCTGCAAGTGAGATTGTATATTCCTTGCTTTATTCTACAATTTGCCTTTTCGAATAGAAATTTGATTGTCTTCTATCAGTGAAGATTGTATGATATTCATTTTAGATAAAAAAAAGGAAGAAGAAGAATAAAGTCCGTGTGAAGGATAAAGAATGCCTCAAATATTCAGGTCTTTGAAGCATTGAGCAATTTGTAACGATTAGGGATGCCATGGAATAAACCTACACTAACCATTTTGTTTCAACAGCCTACTTCTTATTTTATGGTGCTCAAATACAGGTCATGCATATCAGTAGAATGGATAAACAAAAACAAAGTACCATAAACGTTCTACTGTTACCAGTATGAGGTACTACTAGGGAATACTTTTTCTACTAATGACGACCAGAATATCGTTGATGTTTATAATGAGAATCAAATTCAAGACCTTTGGCTCATAGCACTATCTCTGTCGTCTATTGAACTAGAAAGCCATTTCTTTCTTTTTTCACTTGATATCTTTCATCATCTATTTTCTTCCAAAGGAAATTGGTGTATTTTTTTGATCAGCGAGTTGTATAAAGTTGAAATGAAACGAATCATTTTCTTCATCTTGTACTACATAACATATAAACATGAAAAAAGAGACTCAATAGCTTGTATCAGCGAGGTTACTTTGCTTTTTTTTGCAGCTCGTTTCTGACCAATCGTCTACAAACTAGTTGAATCTTCTTCTAAATCAAATGATTCTGTAGTCTATGAATAGTATAGTTTATCGCTGTCATACTTTTTTTCAATTAAAGTTCAGTTTTTAGTGTTCGGTAATTATTCCGACTTTCTTGAAAAAATAAGATAACAAGATGATGACTACTCTCCGACCAGTCAATAGAAACAAGCAATAGACTTTTAGCACAATGCCTTTATCAAAAAAATGATGATTCTATGACGCAAGTTGAGCTTGGTACCAAGACAGTAAAACGAGAACGTGCTCCACCAATATTGATAGGAACAATTGGATTCAAACAAAGTTCAATTGAATTCCGTACAGATACAAGAATGGTGGATGCTGATTGATCTATGCTCATCAATAGTAACATGTTCTCAATATTCTAGAAACACATTGTCATTCAATATGAAAGTCAATCCACAAATGTACCAAAATTGATTTGTGGACAATCATTTGCCCAGTAGTGCAAACAGCATATAAATATCAAGGGGAAAATTGATGCTTTGTTGCAATTCGGATTCTCACCTAGTGATTCTCGAATGAATTGATCTTCGACTTGATTTTAAGTAATCCAAATAATATTCTGTAAATCATCCTTTTAGATTAAGGACTAGATTATTTTAGGCAATTCGAGATAATCTTGGACAATTCGACTTTGGATCAAGCATATAGGGTACCTAAAGACCACATAAAACACTGCTTCGGATATAAAGACTCTGTACATACAACAGCAAGATTTCAGGTGCAAAGGTACAAAGTCTTTATCAACTCGACAACTAGTAGTCAATAGAGTATCAATTCTACCTTAAAGAAGCCATCCTATAAAAACACTATCTAACAGAAGCTCTATTGGATAACCAAATGTCCACATAATGACAATTCAACCAACTCTCTCTTAGATACCCCTAAAAAGATAACAACGTATATTAGACTTACTATCAACTAATTGGTTTTGAATGAAAACGTTGATTCAACTTTTGTATGCATCGAGTTGTGCCGTTATCTTTTCTAACACATTGACTCCATTCATTACTAGGTTATATTTCAATAGTCAAGTTTGAACGGTTCTAACAATCAACGCATTTAGATGCGAATACTTGAAAAAAGATTGAAATCTGATATTAGATTCTTCTCTGCGAAATGAATATAGCTTACCCAGTGATGCTTGGTTGGAACGAAATAGTATAACTAAAAGCACTTCAAAACAAGTAGTAATCAATTGAATCAAGTACAGGTTAACGTAGTTTTATCTAAACAAACAACCAGTTAATATCAAAATATATAAACTGGTAGTATTATATTCGTGGCACTGCAAAGATACATTACAATTCATCGCTTGAGTAGATTCATGAAAACTATCTAGGATGAAATGATCAACGAAAGCTTGTCCAATATTGCGGAGGAATAATTGGACAGTCAAGCACTAGCAAGTTTTTTTCAAATCAAGTCTTCAGCTCCCTAGTCCTCGGTATCCTTAGTAATAATACTACTATTAATACTATATGGCAAATCGTTTTTCTCGAGATACGGACTAATTCGTTCGATAAATTCAGTATAATCTCTAAGAATTCAAAAGTTGAATCAACCATAGAGGACATTTCATTTACTTATGAAACAGAATTTGTTCTTGATGAGATATTCAACTAGTAATCAACAAATGACCAACTCCTATACAAAGGGTCATTTTAACTGAGCAGTATCAAGAAACATCTTACTTTCTTTCCAATGAACAGTAAATCATTGAATTCAGTATACAATTCAAGTAATATAAACCAGTAACCAACTTCTAAATACGGTGAGGAGAAAGAAATCAAATAGAGCTTTTCTTACGTATCTAGTAGAATTATTGTGCCATATCCCGTTGAGATTTAACTAGAAGTGGTAAGATTCAGAGTACTCTAAAGCA